CACACACACACACACACACACACACACACACAACACACACACACACACACACAATCACAATCGATCCCTCCTGTAGCAGGGTGTATCCAGGGACATCAATCATGTTTGTTGGGATTTTTCTATTTAAAGTGCATCTTCCCCCCCGTGAAAAGATAACTCCGCTCCAAGGCGAAATTTGAAAAATGCATCAAAGTGGGTAGAGGAGGGGGGTTAGAGAGTGGAGGTGTGGCCAGGACGAGAGAACGTGACAGCTAGCATTAGCATAATTGATGCTACATGGAGAGTGACCACAGTATTGCAGATAGTTACATCTCTGAACGTCTGAGGTGGAGGATTTTCACCCCCCCCCATCTCACCAGAGGCAGAGAGAGACTTGATCAAGTCAGCTCAGTGTGGGACTGACTCGTGATGGCTCCCTGGGTCAGGACCTTGAGCTCCAGCAGCCTCGGCTGAGCTGTCCGCCTCACACCACACCAGCCTCGGACAGAGGAGGAGTCCCCTCCAAAAGTATTGGAACAGGAAGTCAAATTCTCTTATTTTTGTTGTGCACTGAAGACATTTCGGTTGAAGATCAAAAGATGAGCATGAGACAAGAGTTCAGAATGTCAGCTTTTATTTCCTGGTGTTTACATGTAAATTTGTTAAACGCCTCAGAACATACAAGCCTTTGTTTGAACCTACCCATTTTTTAAGTGAGCAAAACTATTGGAACAAATGAYTGACAGTTGTTTCTTATTGACCAGGTGTTGCCTTTAAGGTTGATTGTTAAAACATTAAATAGCTCTTGATGACTAGTATACTTTTTGTCCTATAAAGCTTTAAACCTATAAAGTAAGTTTTTCTTGTAAACAAGGATAAACCAATATGAAGACAAGAGAGCTGTCTATGGAAGAAAAGCAAGCCATTTCAAAGCTGACAAAAGAAGGAAAATCAGTCAAAGCCATTGAACAAACATTGGGCATAGCAAGCACAATAATTTGGAATGTCCTGAATAAGACAGAAACTACTGGTGTACTGAGCAGTACACCTCCAACCGGTTGGCCAAGGAAAACAACAGTAGTTGATGACATAAATTTTGTGAGTTCTTCAGCAATCCAACTTTTACCAATCTCTTAAATGTACACATTGATCCTGCATTTTTAACATCACTCTCCAGATTGTTCCATAATCTTATTCCTTGAATTAAAGTACACCGTTCCTTCAAACTGGTTCCAAATTTAGGTTTTAAAAAAAAATCCTTCTTTTTCTAAGTGTTACTGAAATCCTTGGCAGGATCCTGAAAAAAACATCTGTGTTCTATGAGATTTGTTCCTGTGAATGGCAGCAYGACAGYTCAGTGGTTAGCACTGGTGCCTCGCAGCAAGAAGGTCCTGGGTTTGATACCCGGTTCAGACCTGGGGTCTTTCTGCACAGAATTTGCATGTTCTTCTCATGTTTGYGTGGGTTTTCTTCGGGTACTCCGGTTTCTCCCACACACCAAAAAATATAAATAGGTTGCCTTCAGGCCCAGGCCTCCCTTGAAAAAGACATCTTTGATCTCAATGGGATTTTCCTGGTAAAACAAAATAAATAAGAAAATATATTTGAATTGTTTACATCATGGCTGAGTTTTAATCCAGTAGAAAGAAAACCTTATCAACCTTTAGTCCAATATTATTTCAACTTCATTGCAATGGAATTCAGATTTTAGTTGGTCAATAATTATTTTTTTAGATTTCAACATTTAATTGAAGTAGATTAAAGTTCTTTTACTATAAAGTTACAGTTGGAAGGTTTATTTTCTCCTTGTAATATTGAGAATATGAACCTGTTCTGTTCTCCTGCACCCTAAATGCTGATATTAGTTAGAATAAAAAAAAAACTTAGTGTTAGAAATATTAACTGTTGGTCATGGTCACAGTCTTAGTCTATCTTATCTCATTTCAGATGGTGTCCGGATTGAATCTCCCTTTCACACTGTGGATTTTCTGGATGATTTTCAGACAATCCTGCAGAGTCAGTTCACAGCAAGAACAGTGGAAGAGTGCATGGACCCCGAAGGTATCACAACATTCTGTAGCAGAATTAGTTTTATAAAAAAGATACTTTTAATCTTGAGTGACTGCAGAGTTTTCATTTTGCTCAGACTTTAATTCAAAACTTTGCAGGTTGACAATAAAAGGTGAAACCTCCAAATTCCTGTGTTACTTATATTCGTTACTTACAATTAGTTATAATATAATACCACTTACCCTGTCTTTAACCAAATAATGAAGGATTTAATTTGAACTTGTCAACTGGGTGAAAGACTCAAGAATTTCTTTGGACTTCTGCAACTTTTTATTTCCGTTGATCTCAGTTTCAGTAGTGTTACCTTAACATTGTCAGGGAAATGTTTTAAATTTTTTTATGAACAATCRAACTGGAATGTTACAGTCGTCTCTTTTTTGTTTTAGTGTGGGTAAAGAAGACATGCTTTGTGTATGTTTTCTTCTTCAGTGAATAGACATTTTGTTGATTGTAGTGACACTGTAGGCCTGTGCAGAACCTCACATTGCACACATGGTGAATTGCAGGGAAATCCGCTTCTCCTTCTTGCTGTTCTAGCAGAGGTTGAGCTTTTCTTCAGGGGCTGTTGTGTTCAGCTGCACCAGAGGTAGTGTCCTTTGTATGTTTGATCTTCAATCCGCCTGACTGTGGTCTTTTAACTAGCTCAGTTACCTGTGGTGTGCTTTRGCTAGGAGTTAGTCTGCAAAATCAGCACGGCTGCTCAAAAATCTGTGAAGAAGAGGAAAACACAAAATTTTACCAAATACTGTTACGTTACTGTTACATTGTTATATTTAGAATTAGAGGGAAAAAACAGTTTTTCCAAAGTAGTCCATGGTAAAATTATTTACACAAACTACAACTTTCTTTGGCAATATTGCAAGAACACTGCCTTCAAAAATAAAAATAAAATGAAGCCACGCATCTCTATTCTCCATGACTGTTGTAAAATCAGCAGAACTAATGTTGTCRTCCTGTGAAGAAGTAGGCGGAGTCTCTGCTTGGGTTACCAGATGAGGGGCTACGCTCGCCTTGGCGGTGCTAGGTCACTGGGATTGTGGTCACTATCCCAAGGTTTTGGAAAATGCTTGTTTGCAGACAGGAAAAAAAAAACATTTATATATTGCCAAAAAACAAATGGGAGTATTTATTTGGTGCTTGGACTGTTTTTGGGAGCAGTACAGACTCAACTCTGGACTAAGATCCTTCTGCTGATGCACCTTTCCTCCCCCTCTCTCATTCGATAAAGAAGGAAGACAAACAGCATCTGCTGCTTTGCAAAAAAACAAAAAAAACCAACAAAAGAAAAAAAAAACTTAATTTCACAAGTTGAATGTCATGGCCATGTGCTTTTTCAAACCGGAGTCTGCCGGTAGAAAACTTTTTTTTGTTAATTGTGGGGCAGAGATAAAAAAAAAAGGTTGTGGATGTCAGGTGCACAGATGAACAACTGGGAGGTAATGTTAAAAATAACAGACTGAGATGGTTTGGACATTTCCAGAGAAGGGACAGTATATTTGGTAAATTGGTTAAAAGATACTAATGCGGTTGCTAGTGAAAAGACAAAACAGAAGGCCAAATATGAGATATGAATTCAGGTAGGGCAAGCCACATTTAAAGACCTAGATCTATTTGAGACCTTAGGGCAGGGCTATTAACTGGCGGCCCGCGGGCTGGATGTGACAGGTAGTGACCAAAGTTCGGCCCACAAATTGTTTCATTCATCTCTTAAGCCCAAACCCCCGGTTTTCTACTTTAATTACTATGTTATTTTAGTTAAACATAGRCATGTTTGGTATCTACAGAAACGTCAGAATCTTGGCTAGTGTGCATTTCTATAAACACTCAAGACAGTTAAAATTACAAGAAGTTGAAGATAAAACTATGAAAGTGAAAATAAAATTGTGAGATGTCAAAATAATATTTGTGTTAAATATGACAGAATGTGTTCTTTTTATTTTTGATATTGTTCAATTAGCACTACATTTATTACATAGGGTTCTGTATGTTGTATTTATGATTAAATGCAGCAAAATAAACTATATCAAAGGTAACAGATGTTTGTAATACTTGGTTTATTTGCTTTTGACTTGCAGTAACTGTGGCCCCTGGAGAAATTTAATTGAATAGCCCTGCCTTAGGACCTCATTATGCTACAACTCCTGTGTGCACAGGTCGACAGGGCCCTTGTGATGACAAGAGCCAAGGTCCATATGCGTACACTGGCTTGGACCCTGGTCATAACTGCTTGCAGTTCTAGTTAAATGTTGTTGTATTTTTTTTTTTTTGTAAAATTACATCTTGCAACCATTTAACTGAGTTTTTATAGTGCAATAATGACTTTGAGTGTCTTTAAAATGTCTTAACATCTTTGAATGTTTTGTCTGATTGTAGTGACGGTGACGGCCTATAAATGGCTGGTGTGTTTTCTGCTTGAGGAAAGTCAGAAGAGGCTTGAACAAGAAAAAGCTGTGTGCATGGGTGATTTTGATGCTCGTAACAACAGTCAGGTAAACGAGTCATGCAAATCATTCTCATATGTACCCTTTGTACCCTCATAGTACCCTCTGCCCGCCTCTCCACCATGGGGAGCAGGGCTTTCACCTGCTCTGCACCTCTCCTCTGGAACTCTCTACCACCTGACCTAAGAAACACCRCCTCTCTTCHTGTGTTCAAGACTGCTTTGAAAACACATCTCTTTAGATTAGCATATCCATCCTGACTTCATTTGTAAACAACTCTCACAACAAACAATTGCTCTGTAACACATGCCTGCTTGTCTCTAACTGTATTTCCACACATTCTTCAATGATGTGTCTAATGCTGTAAGTGCCCTTGGGTGTCCTAAAAGGCGCTTTTCATATAAAATGATGATGATGATGATGATGATTATTATTATTATTATTATTATTATTATTATTATTATTATTATTATTATTATTATTATTATTATTATTATTATATGTCTTCATCATTACTTAAAGTGCCTGAATTATCTGATGAAACCAGACATGGCACAGAGGCGACTCTTGCTTTCAGTAAACAAAGCGAAGCCACTTTCTCTATTTTATCTGCCACTGATTGTTTTTCAGCTCTGGAAATTTCTGAGCTCTTTAACTCATTTTACCAGGTAAATTGGTCTCATAGCGGTTGTACTTTGTCTTGAAATTTCATTCCAAGTTACCCATTTTGGACAAGGGAGCCCTTGAATTACAAATAAGAAAATTAGACTTGAGCCGAAAAAGGGTAGTGTGCTACCTGTCCAGGTCAGGGAGGAGGTCCTGCCCCAAGTGGAGGAGTTTAAGTATCTCTGGGTCTTGTTCACGAATGAGGGAAGAATGGAGCGGGAGATAGACAGGCGGTTTTGTGCTGCGTCTGCAGTGGCGGGCGCTGTACCGGTCTGTCATGGTGAAAAGAGAGTTGAGCCAGAAGGTGAAGCTCTCAATTTACCAGTCGGTCTATGTTCCTACCCTCATCTATGGTCACGAACTTTGGGTAGTGACCRAMAGAACAAGATCACAGATACAAGCAGCTGAAATGAGTTTCCTCTGCAGGGTGTCTGGGCTCTCCCTTAGAGATAGGGTGAGAAGCTTGGTCATCAGGGAAGGACTCAGAGTAGAGCYGCTTCTCCTCCACGTCGAAAGGAGCCAGTTGAGGTGGTTCATCTGGTTAGGATGCCTCCTGAACGCCTCCCTGGTGAGGTGTTCCGGGCATGTCCCACTGGGAGGAGGCCCAGAGGAAGACCCAGGACACACTGGAGGKACTATGTTTCTCAGCTGGCCTGGGAACACATTGGGATTCCCCCAGAGGAGCTGGTCCAAGTAGCTGGAGAGAGGGAAGTCTGGGTCTCTCTGCTGAGGCTGCTGCCCCTGCGACCTGACCCCAGATAAGAGGAAGAAAACGGATGGACAGACAGACAAATAGACTTTGAATTGGAAAAGAACTAAAAATATTCCTCCTCCCACTTCAGGTGAAAATAATAGATTTTTGCTTGCATGTTAGCTCGTTTTTCATCCATTTTTTTGGCACACTAGTGATCAACAACTCCTATTCCACTTTTTTTGAACATGTGGAGCTTAATTCTTGTGTAATATTGTTTTTTATTGTGTTGGAGCGCCAAAAACTCGCATGACTACTGTGAACAAGACCTGGTTATGTCTCTTGGAAATTTGAAAGGGAGTGGACGCTTTATAGGCTAAGCTTGAACGTTAAACAGCAAGGATTAAAAAACAAACTACGTTGTGTTTTACAGATCTTGTAATCGACTAGAAATCAGTTGGCGATTGACTGGTTTATCGTGATCGACTGGTTGGGCACCCCTGGATATGGATTTCAAATAACATTCATTCAGTAGATATAAGATCTAAAGATGCAAGCTAAAACCAGAAGAATAGTAGCTGAAAGCTAAATGGGGCAGCAGTGGGCTGAGCGGCAAGGTCAGCCATCTTCTAATACGAAAATTGGTGGATCGATTCCACCGCTATTTAGTCATATGTTTAAGTGTTCTTGTACACTGATGCAGTGGGGGTTCACCCCACTGGGTGCGGAGGACGGGAGGCTTCTCCTTAAAACATAGAGTAACCACAGCATTGATCAACAATGCCATCGCTCACTCCTGAATCTCTGCAGTGTGCGTCTTCACCAAGATGCTTTTATACTAAACACTGAGCGCTGTGACGCAGCACATTTTGAAAGAATAACGATAATTCAAATGTACTAGCCATAGTTAGACCCAAAGGGAACAGCACAAAGATGTTTTTAGACCAAATATTGTAGATTTAAACTATTTTAGACAAAAATGGTCAATTTTAGTCATAAATAGAAAGGTCAATTTAGACAGTTTATGTACAAAAAGAGCTGGTTTTGGGGTAAGTTACTCTTCAAATAGAATGGAAAACCRGCAAAAATATCAAACAGTTGCTGAAATAAAATTAGCAAAACAGGTGCTAAAGCTAAAATTGGCAAAACTGTAGCTAAAAGGTAAAAATGTAAAATGGTAGCTTAAAGTAACCCAACAGTAGCTAAAAACTAAACGTAGCAGAAGAAAACAAAACCAGAGCCGGTATACTAAAGCAGATTTTAAAAAGAACAATGTTTTGAATTAACTAAAGATATCTCTATATATTTATGGAGATTTTTACTTGAAATAAAGTTAAATATTTTAAAAGGTATAAAAGTTACTAAATGCATAGTACATTTTTACAATTTGAGCAGAAAGCTTTGATAGGTTATTTGTATAATGTGTATATTGTGTTTGTTTAGGTTTATTACTGCAGATCCTTGGCCATCGCCTACAGTGAATACATCAGCTTGCAGAGCTTTTATGAGCTAATCACTGACAAGGACACACCTCAAGATCTCAGATCTGTTCTGAGAAAATTGTGCGCCTTATATGGACTGTGGAGTCTCAACAGCCACATGGCCACACTCTACCAAGGTATGAGCTGCCTTTTGTACCAAAGTAAACAAAATCCGGTTTAAATTGATTTAACCAGTTGTGTTCCTATCCAGGAAATTATCTGAATGGAAGGAAACCCGTTGAGTTGGTCCAAAAGGCCATCCTCACCCTCTGCTCACAGGTACAGAATAGTTCTGCCAATAATTACTCTCATTTCCTCACCAGGTTCTAAATGATACTGCAAAATTGTTTTATAAAGATAATGGGTTTAATGTTTCTGAGGACTGTACTCAAAAGCAATGATAACAAGAGAATGGTCAATTTCTACAAAAATGCTGTGTGAGCGCTAAATGGTAAAACATTTTTGCTGAAAGCTGCTGAAATCAAGCTGAAAATGTTTAAAAGTGAAACTGTTAATTTACATTAAATTTGAACAGCCGACTTGTGCTTTAAGTAGGAAAACAAAAGCAAACTAGAACTGCAAAGCAGATGATATACTGTACAGTACAGATCAAATGTTTGGACAAACCTTCTCATTCAAAGAGTTTTCTTTATTTTCATGACTATGAAAATTGTAGATTCACACTGAAGGCATCAAAACTATGAATGTGGAATTTTATACTTTTTATTAATTATATACTATACATGTGGAATTTTATACTTAACAAAAAAGTGTGAAACAACTGAAAATATGTTTTATATACTAGGTTCTTCAAAGTAGCCACCTTTTGTTTTGTTTACTGCTTCACACACTCGACATTCTCTTGATGAGCTTCAAGAGGTAGTCACCTGAAATGGTTTTCCAACAGTCTTGAAGGAGTTCCCAGAGATGTTTGGCACTTGTTGGCCCTTTTGCCTTCACTCTGCGGTCCAGCTCAACCCAAACTATCTCGATTGGGTTCAGGTYCGRTGACTGTGGAGGCCAGGTCATCTGGCGCAGCCCCCCATCACTCTCCTTTTGGTCAAATAGCCCTTACACAGCCTGGAGGTGTGTTTGGGGTCATTGTCCTGTTGAAAAATAAATGATGGTCCAACTAAATACAAACTGGATGGAATAGCATGCCGCTGTAAGATGCTGTGGTAGTCATTCTGGTTCAGTATGCCTTCAATTTTGAATAAATCCCCAACATTGTCACCGGCAAAGCACCCCCACACCGTCACACCTCCTCCTCCATGCTTCACAGTGGGTACCAGGCAKGTAGAGTCCATCCATTCATCTTTTCTGCTTCGCACAAAGACACGGTGGTTGGAGCCAAAGATCTCAAATTTGGACTCATCAGACCAAAGCACAGATTTCCACTGGTCTAATGTCCATTCCATGTGTTCTTTAGCCCAAACAAGTCTCTTCTGCTGGTTGCCTGTCCTTAGCAGTGGTTTCCTAGCAGCTATTTTACCATGAAGGCCTGATTCACACAGTCTCCTCTTAACAGTTGTTCTAGAGATGTGTCTGCTGCTAGAACTCTGTGTGGCATTGACCTGTTCTCTAATCTGAGCTGCTGTTAACCTGTCATTTCTGAGGCCGGTGACTCAGATGAACTTATCGTCCGCAGCAGAGKTGACTCTTGGTCTTCCTTTCCTGGGGTGGTCCTCATGTGAGCCAGTTTCTTTGTAGAGCTTGATGGTTTTTGCGACTGCACTTGGGGACACTTTCAAAGTTTTCCCAATTTTTCAGACTGACTGACCTTCATTTCTTAAAATAAGGATGGCCACTCGTTTTTCTTTACTTAGCTGCTTTTTTCTTGCCATATTACAAATTCTAACAGTCTATTCAGTAGGACTATCAGCTGTGTACTGTATCCACCTTCTGCACAATACAATTGATGGTCCCAACCCCATTTATAAGGCAAGAAATCCCACTTATTAAACCTGACAGGGCTCACCTGTGAAGTGAAAACCATTTCAGGTGACTACTGTTAACATCTTCTAAAACGGTATATGTTCTTGCGAGACTGGTGAGGGTTTTTTATTTCTGTTTCTCTGCCCGCGAGGGGCCTCTGTGTGTGTGGTCTCCGGAGGGAATGAAAATGGTGGACAAATAAATAGTTCGGCAAAGAAAATAAATGTTGTGTTTATTTGGACTTTACATGGTGGCAAAGGATGGTTACCAATTACAGAGTTCCGCTGAAGTTTGATGAAGCCAGACCATTCAAGTGCTGGAAAAATTAGGTTAGCATTTGGACACGTGTTAYGGACTTGGAAAAGAAAAAACATGCCCTCGCTGTGGTGCTGGGCCTCGAAGGAAGAGCCAGAGAKATTGCACTGGAGATATCTGTGGACGACTTGAACAAAGATAATGGTATGGGAACCTTGTTTAACAAACTGGATAGGATATTTTTAAGAGAAGGAAAAGACCGAGCTTATGAAGCATGCTCCCATTTTGACGCCATCTCTAAAGACTATGTCTATGGCAGACTTCATCACAGATTTTGAACAACGTTATAATCAAATAAAGAAATATAACATGGTGCTGCCCTACGCTGTGCTAGCGTTTAAACCCTTGGATGCGGCTTGTCTCGATGAACAAAGCAGGCAGCTTGCTCTCACAGCATGCACGGACTTGACATTTGCCTCCATGAAGTCAGGATTGAAACGGATTTTCGGAAAAACAACAGCTGGAACCGGAAGCGGCACAGAGACTCAGGATGCTGTTTATTTTTTGGAGCAAAGACCAATGAGCAGATTCAGATGAAGCAACGGCTCAGGTGGACAGCGACACCACAGCAGGGCACAAATCCCCTTGAAATATGGTAAGCGAACAAAATTTGCTATTTGTCAGAGCACGTACTATTGGGCCATAGGCTGTCCACATAAAAGAAAGGAAGTAAAGTTGACACAGGATGAAAATATGGAGGAATGTAATATCACTTTATTTACAAAGACARAGACAGATTCAGAGATCTTTCTGAGTCATTGGTATCAGCTATCATTGATTCTGCCTGCACTCGTACTGTATGTGGTGAAAAGTGAAAGTTAAATAAAAAACCCAAGCAAGAGTCAAATTGACAAACTGTTGCAAACAGAGACTCCAAGTTGCAGACCTTTCAGATTTGGAGATGGTCAGGTGGTGCTCTCCAACAGAAGAATGAAACTGCTAAGATTGGGAAAACAAAGTGCAGCATTGAAACTGAAGTGGTTTCTGCTGACATTTCTTTACAACTGAGCAAAATGTCTCTGAAGAGAGCTGGAACTGTTTTAGACRTGCAAAATGACAAAGTTGTCATGTTCAAACAGCAAGTCCGTCTTGAAATTACCAGTTCAGGGCATTATTGTGCGGATATAAGAGATGAAGATCCAAAAGTGAATGAAAAGGAAATCCTTGTCACAGCAGAGATGTCTGCAAATGAGAAACACAAAATTCTCCTGAAACTTCACAAACAGTTTGGACATGCCTCAGCAGGCTGACTGCAGAGACTCATCCAAAGCTCTGGAAATACTGATAAAGACTGCTCAGTGATTTTGCAGGAAATCATTCATGACTGTGAGATATGTCAGAGATACAGCTGAACAAAGCCAGAACCTGCTGTTGGTTTGCCTTTGGCTTCAGAGTACAATGAGACGTGGCAATGAATCTACACGAGTTGGAATCTGGTATCTGGTATCTGGTATCTGCACATCATCGACCACTTTACATGCTTCAGTGCTGGAAACATCATGAGGACCAAGAAACCCTCTGAGATTGTCAACTCCTTCATTCATTCATGGATAAGTGTTCATGGAGCCCCCAAGTGGATTTATACTAACAACGGTGGAGAGTTCAACAWTGAAGAAGTTAAAGACATGGCAGAAAAATTCAACATTGAGACAAAGACCACAGCGGCCTACAGCCCCTGGAATAATCGACTATTGGAGAGACACAACATGACATTAACAGGAATCCTCCTGAAGGTGAAAAAGGAAAATGGGTGTGGCTGGCAAACTGCTCTGGACTGGGCTCTCATGGCCAAAAATAGTATGATCAGTGTACATAGTCCACACCAGCTTGTGTTTGGTCACAGTCCTAATCTTCTTTCTGTTTTGGTTGATAAACCACCTGCTCTAGAGGACACCTCTACGAGTACTAGAGTGGGACAACATCTAGCAGTATTACATGCTTCCAGAAGAGCTTTCACAGAGGTGGAATGCTCAGACAGAATAAAAAGAGCTTTACGAAAACAGCTAAGACCTACAGATGAAAAGTATGAGACTGGAGACAAAGTATAGAGAACAGAAAGTACAGTGTGGAAGGGGCCTGGTGTTGTTATTGGTCAAGATGGAGTTGTAGTTTTTGTAAGACATGGTGGAATTCTTGTTCGAGTACATCAGTCCAGGCTAAACAAAGTGAGTGTACAGGATGAGAATAAAAACAGTCCTGCTAATGTTCCTGAGAAGGATAAAGAAAGTGAAAATATGGTTCACACTGAAGTGTCAGGAAGCTCAGAAGATRAAATGAGTGTAAAATGGAGAAGAACAAACCACTGGCAATACAGGAACAGAAGAGATAAATGTCACACAGACTGAGACACATAATGAAACARAGAGTGAGGCAGCTACTACTACTCAGAGTCCCATGGAGGTAAAACTARRAACAGGTCAAACAGTTAMATTTACAGACAGAGATAATGGCACCAGACACACTGCCTGAGTTTTAGGCAGAGCAGGAAAAGCAAAAGGGTAATACAAAAACTGSTTCAATGTACCGAATATTGAACATGATGGTAGTGAAGGACAAAAACAAGCAGTGGACATGTCACAGTTTGATAACCTTCATACTGAGCCTAAAAATAGAGATGATGATGTACTCATTGTAAAAGATGTTTCTTTTGATGCTGCTAAACAGCAAGAAATTGAAAACTGGAAAAATAATGATGTATATGAAGAGGTCATGGACAGAGGTCAAAAATGTATTTTGACTAGGTGGGTCTGTACATTAACAGAAACTTCAGAAGTAATCATTCCCAATGCCCGTCTTGTGGCAAGAGGTTTTGAAGAAATCAACAATAATGAGTTACAGAAAGATTCCCCTACATGTGCATCAGAGTCACTCAGACTTCTGTTAGCAGTGATKTGTCAAAATAAGTGGAAAGTTCATTCTATGGATATTAAATCTGCTTTTCTACAGGGTATGGAACTTTCAAGAGACATTTTTATTTGCCCTCCACCTGAAGTGGGTGTAGAAAATATTCTGTGGAAACTAAAAAAATG